CTCTAAGTTTCTGGATGTCTGATTTCTCGCCCATCGAATGCAACACTGGCCAGTACAGGTGACCGAGCCCAGTTCAGGCCTCAGTGGTTAAGGGGCTAACATGCGGGTGCAGGAATCTACCCATCTTGCAGCAGCCCAAGTCACGCTTCAGAAGTTCCCTTACTAATGAAACCTGCCACCTACCAATCTGGAGGGGCCTGCCTCTTGCTTGGGTCTCTCCCTGCCCTCTATGTATAGCAACCAGTTTGTGAGCCAAGGCCACAACCTTAGTAGGTAATGATTGTGCCGCCAGCATCCCCTTTCTACAGAGTCAGACTCAGAGATCAGAGGACTGGCCCAAAGCTAAGAAAGGGCAGAGCCAAGATTTGGACCTGGGGCATCTATCTCCTGAGCAATGTGTGCTCCCAGCCTCCAAACCGCGTGAGGCTTGCAGAGAGGATCTAAGTCAAACCTTCGCTTCCAAGGGTGGGGATTTTCTGTGCCTTGTTCACTGCTGCATTCCCAGTGCCTGGACCGGGGCCCGGCACACAGAAGCGCCCAATAAATATCTTTTGAATAAAAGAATGAATGAATGAAAATAAAGCCTATATGTTCAGCCAGTTTATTATTATTATTAAATAAATGGTACCATGTTAGAACTACTTGGGAAAATAACTGGGCGGTTTCTGACAATGTTAAATGTACACCTGCCGTAGGACCCAGGCACTCCGCTCCCAAGAGTATATGCTGGAGGAAAGAAATGGCCAGACACGCCCTGACTGGTATGGCTCCGTTTGTTGGGCATTGTCCTGCAAAGCGAAAGGCGACCAGTTTGATTCCCAATCAGGAAACATGCTTGGGTTGTGGGCCCAGTCCCTGGTTGGGGGCGTGTGCAAAAGGCACACTTCCCCAGTATGTGCGAATCTATGTTTCTCTCACACATTGATATTTCTCTTCCTCACTTTTTCCTTCCTTTCCTCTCTCTCCAGAAATAAATTCTTTTTAAAAAAAAATGTCCACGCAAAGACTTATACACCAATGTTCCTATCACCTTCATGTGTAATTGCCAAAACTGGAAACAACCCAAATATCCAGCAGTGGGTAACTCAGTAAACAAATCGCAGTGACAAACTATTCCATGCAATGGAGTAATACTTAGAAATAAAAAGAATGAATTCTTGTTCAACATTTATGAATCTGCAAAAAATAATATTGAATGAAAAAAGCCAGACACGAGAGTTAATGCTATATAAATTCATTCTGGAAAATAAAAGTTAACCCATAGTGACAGCAATCAGATCTGTGGTTGCCTGGGGATGCGTGTGTGGAGGGCGAGGGCTGGAGGGTTTACTGAGAGGCATGAAGAAACTTGGGGATGACAGAGATGTTCGTTAGCTTACGGCGATTATCTTGATTGTGGTGGTGGTTTCACAGGTTTAAACTCGTAAGTTAAAACTCATCAACTTGGATTCTTGAAATATGTGTGGTTTCGTCTATGTCAGTTATACCTCAGTAATGGTGGGGAAACAGCGTTACGACTATGTAATGAAACTGAGAGCTTGTTGTTCACAGGCTGGCTTTACCCAGTGGCCCCAGAGAGCATCTGAGTTTTCAATCTGAGGTGTGACAGACCGTGAAGCTATTTCCGCTTGGAGCCCTGGGGAGGCTAAAGAAAAGAGTGAAAAAGCAAGCTGGCCTAATGCTGCTTTGGGGCTTGTCACAGTTCTCCTCTGAGACCCCTAGCCCACAGGGGAACAATTTCTTGAATGGGGAAGAGAAAAATGAGAATACGCACAGGGGAAAAGCAGCTCAGCAGATGGGAACAGTCACTGGTGGGAAGGCAGCCGGGGCGGCGAAGGCACAGAAGGACGGTAGACGAGGTGGAAAGCGGCTGTAGTTCTCAGGAAACGAGAAGGTCAGGGCTGAGAGTGAGGACGAGGAAGAGCTGTTGGAGTTTTGATGAGGTCTGATATATCGCTGGGAGAGTGAGAAGATAAGGGACATAGGCAAATTTGCTGGGCAGCATTATGGGTCTACTCCAAGTCAGTGGGCACGAATTTAAGGTAAGACCAGTTAACGTGGGCGAATATTTTTCTCCATCCCGATTCCCTTGCATAGACACAGGCGTGCAACAGGTGGAATCTTAGATTTAGCAAGGATTGTGGTTTCATCAGATGAACAGGACAGAGAGTGGTGTGTTCAGAGTGTCCATAAAGTGTGATTATAATGATTGGTCATGGCCTTTCACCTGTGTGACGACAGTGAGGAGCCTTAGAGGTGGTGGAATGATGGTAGAGCCAATGGATTTTTGGAGTTGAGCTTCTGAAAGGAATGAACTAGAAAAAAGACAGGTGATAGGTAGAGGGCAAGATGCCTGAAATTAAGTTCTGATAGGCCTGTGGTTATTGAGACAAGGTCTAAGTGTGACCATGGGGAAGGGCAATATCACTGGAGGGAAGGTCTAGGAACCAAGAGACTGGGGTGGTGTGAAGGTCACCTACCTGGATACGGAAATTACCAACAATGAGGACAGGAGCAGGAACAGAGACAGTGAGCTGGGAGCTAAAACCGTGGAGAAGCAAGGAGTAGGGACCATTACTAACTGCTGACGAGATAAAACAAAATGTGGTAGATCCATACACGGAATATTTGGCTGCAGAAAGGAATGAAGCACATCCTATCACCTGGGTGAACCCTGAAAACAGTACTAAGGAAAAGAAGCTAGTCAATCACATATTGTATGTTGCCACTTGTATGAAATGACCAGAACAGACAGATCCACAGAGACAGAAGGTAGGTTAGTGGTTGCTAGAAGTTGAAAGGAGGTGGCTATTAATGTGTATAAAGTTTCTTGGGGGGGGGCGGCTGATGAAAATGTTATGGAATTAGACAGTGGTGATGGTTGCACGACTTTGTGCATATACTAAACAGCCGGCCCTGCAGATTCTACTTTCAAACCAGATCCACAACCTGCCCATGTCAACTCCACCACAGACGCTGTTCCCATCTACCTTCTTCAACCTGCTCCACTGAATAGGGCTACTGTCTTTCTGCTCTCACCAACATCCCAGTGTTTCTGTATCCACTTCCTTGTAGCCACAGGCCTCCTGTGAATAACTGAGCCAGATCAGGGACCTCCCCTACCAAGAACCCTCCTATGGCTCCACCTCTAAGTCCTTCCCATGGCCCACAAGGCCCCTCACAGATTGCCCCTTCCCCCATTTTTCTGACAGCATGGCCTACCACATACCCCTCACTAACTCTGCTCCAGCTACGAAGGCCTCTAACAATTCCTGGAACACACTAGGCACACTTCCATCTCAGGGCCTTTGTACTGGCTCTACCCTCTACTTGGAGCCCCTTTCCCTAGTATCAACATGACTTCCTCTCTCCTCCCCTGCAGGTCTTTACTAAAATGTCACTTTCTCGGTGAGGTTTCCCCCAATACCCTTTTGGGCATAGCCAACTTCCCCATACAGTCCTCCTCCTTCCCTCTTTTATTTTCTTCATAGCAGTTATCACAATCTGATACAATGTTTCACTTATCTTATTACTTCTTACTCTAGAATGTAAAGCCCAGAGGAACATTCTGTATCTTGGTCACCATTTTATCCCAGGTGCTCTGAATAGTGTTGGCTCAATAGAATACCTATTGAAAGACTGAATGACACCAAGGTAGGTCCTTAGGAGGTTTAAAACACACCCACCCACTTCTGGCTCCCCAAAGCCCAGATTCTAGTGAGGAGAAATTTAACAAATAGATGTTTGCACGTGGCAATAAGAGCAAAGAGGGAAATAAACAGGAAGCCAAAATTATGGGGTGGTCAGGAGGAGCAGATGAGGAGCAAAGATCTGGGGGGGAGTAATGTAGGTAGAGAAAACAGCCAGTACAAATCCAGGAATGAGCTCTGGGCGTTTGGGCCATGCCCAGGAAAGTGGAAAGGATTGGATTTAGATGGGCCTGCAAAGGTCAGATTATACCTTGGGGGTGTTGAGGCGATCTACTTGCTTTCAGAAGCTGCCTAGCTGTGATTTTCCATTGGCCTTTACCCACTCCGGGCCGGTTTTACCTAATCTGAAATGGGGGTAAGCTTCTGACATCCTGTCTGCTTCCAGACTTCTCAACATTCCTTAAGACCATCCTTCGAGGCAGGTGCTATCACTTTCCTTTTATTGGATGAGGAAACGCAGGCCCAACAAGGTTAAATCACTTTTACATGGGCCACAGAACTACTAAGCGTGGCCTCTGCAGGCACTCTGGCCCCAAGGCCTGTGCCCTTAACTTCTATTTTGCATATTGCAGCCCCCATAACCTTAACAGGCACTGCAACGCAGTGGTTATGCGTCTTTTGCAGCAAACAAATTCTTGTATGTCACTTACAAGCTGTGGGATTCTGGCCTAGTCGTTTGGGTCCTTTGAGTCCATTTCCATATTTGTACGATGTGCACCCCAGCATTTACTTCAACCAACACTACTGACTGACTAGGAAGAGTGAGGCATGATTTCCAGACAACTGCGCGCCTTTCGTGAGGGAAAGAGGCAGGGGGCTTAAGGGGTTGGGGGCGCTTGGAGAAAAGGGACATGGAGCCCGAACGCAGAGACCCTACGGTCTTCCCATTGTTTTTGTACCTTCTTTCCTCCACTCAACCGCGGACCAACTCTCCGTCTGCCCCCCCCCACGCCCCCGCCATTTTTTTCCAGGTTGAAAAAAGGTCGTGGTCCCTTTAAGGTCCGTCCCTCCCTCTCCAAAACTTCCCAGTGTCTGCTCTCTTTTCGATTCCGAACGGCCGGCCAGGCTCGCCGCCGAGCTGGTAGGGGTTGGGGGCGAGGGGCTGGGGAGGGGTGCGGGGGGGGGGGAGGTGGGAGGTGCCACCCGCCTCCAGTTGCCGTTGCCGGAGCGCAAGGTGGGAAGGGTGGAGGCCAGCAGCACCGGGATACAAATACCGCGGCCGCCCGGTTGCCCGCCGTGGGCCGGGAAATAACGCGAAGAGGACGGTTCCAACGCGTCCGGTCCGCACGCGCCGGCGCGAGGGGCATCCGGGCCGAGCTCGGGGGCGGGGAGGGGAGGGGCCCCTTCTCTCCCCCTCCCCCCACCGCATTCCTCTGACGTCTGTACCTCGCGACCCCGCCCTTGTGTGGGACCAGCCCCGCCTCAATTCTGACGCCCTGATCGCGAGGCATCCCCCTCATCTGGGTTCTGCGGACCTTTTTGGATCTTCCCAGATTCAGTGGTAGCTGGTTTAGATCTCCATCAGCTCACTCCCAAATTTATTGTCTCCTCAAACCGGCGGGCGCACCAGGCTTGTCCCTCGCTGGTAGCGTCACTGACCCCATTTCAAACTTAGTTTCCACAAGGACCTCCATTTCGGGAACCCCCTTTCACCTGGTTGGAAAGGAGTATTGGAGTATTGGGGGGCATCCCCGCATTTCCCACAACTCTAACATCGTTTTCTGAATGCAGTGCCCCACTCCCCCCAGCAGGCAACCTCCTAACATTTTAGAGCCTTTAGGACTGGATCCCGAATCAGACGCCCGCCCTGCCCCCAGGTTCGGGATCCTAGACTATGAGGAAGCGCTTTCTATGGAAGAAGGAAGGTCCGGTTAGAATACCGTTAACGACTCCCTTTGGCAAAGCGCTAGTACTGTGTCGTATACTGCACCGTGTGCCTGGTACAGGGACCAGCCCCGAGGCAGGGACCACCTCTCCCTCGCCCATAAACGATTTCCATGCTAAAGGAAGAGACAGTCACCGGACTGAGAGAACCTAAGAGAGATCAAGGCTGTTCCGTTAAAACCAGTGGCCAGAGTGATCAGGGGTACCCGGGAGTCGGGGCTGGTAGGGACGAGAAAGTCTTTTCAGAGTTAACTGGGACCGCACGGACAGAAGGGATCATTTCTTAGCTCCGGCAAAGATATAGAGGTGCGCGGCATATGATTCCCTCTTGTGCAAAGTTGAAGGAGTTACTGTGGCTGAATTTAGAGGTGGAGTGGTGAAATGACGCCAGCGAGCTGGACAGGGTTCGGCAGGTTTTCTGCTATGTAAAGGGACAAATTCGGTTTAAAAAGATCCTCTGGCACTGTGAAGGCTTAAGATGGAGAGGAATTAGGTATACAGATAGGGACACAGCTGCACTGGTAGTTGCCACTCTGTCTGGTCTAGTCTTCCGGAGCGGCACACGCCACTCACTGAATACTTTTAAGTACTAAAGGCCTTCGCTGCTTCAGAGTGTGCCCTGTCTCCGGTGGCGCCCGAAAGCATATTCGCGCATGCGTTCTCATCTCCGATCATTTCCAAGACAGCCAAAGAGAGCCTACTGGGTGGGCTCAACCCTTTTCCACCCAATTGGAGACCACCAGTGGTCCTACATCCTCGTGTGGGATGTGCTGAAGACGGGCATCTGATGTAACCAATGGAAAGAGGCCACAGGGAGGGGCTTCCTTGCCTTCTTGCCGAGTGGCGCGGGGAGATAATCTTTGTGATTGGAAGACTAAGAGCTTTTGGTTTAATGGATTAGCTAAAAAGCCAATGAAAGTGGGAGGGAGGCGGGGCTTTTCAGGAGCGTGGGGAGCCCGGTTCCAGAGCTCCGGCCTATCAAATTGGAGTTTATTTTAAGGCAGCAGGGTTGGTAAAGTGATTGGCAGAAAGCGCTCGCTTATAACGAGTATCCCAAACAAACGAGGGCGGGCACTCCAGTCGAACGGAGTTGGCTTTATCCAATAGAGGCTCAAGTCATGCAAAGCCTTCCTCCCCCCGCGGCGGGACCAGTGGCTCCCCCTATCGGGTGGGGACGGCGGGTGACGGGCGTGTCCCTCCCCCAATGAGAGGCGGGGGGAGGCGGGTTCTGCACCGCCATGTCGCGGAGGCTGCTGCCCCGGGCGGAGAAACGGCGTCGGCGGCTGGAGCAGAGGCAGCAGCCGGAGGAGCAGCGGAGGCGGTCTGGAGCGATGGTGAAGATGGCGGCGGCGGGCGGCGGAGGCGGCGGTGGCCGCTACTACGGCGGCGGCAGTGAGGGCGGCCGAGCCCCGAAGCGGCTCAAGACTGACAACGCCGGCGACCAGCACGGAGGCGGTGGCGGCGGTGGCGGAGGAGCCGGGGCGGCAGGCGGCGGAGGCGGGGTGAGGCCAGGGCTCTAGGTCCCGGTGTGGCCTGGAAGTGAGGGGAAATTTCCCACCTTGAAGATATTTCTTTGGGGCGAGGGGTCTCTGCGCAGGCGCCCCTGCACTCGCGCAGTTGAGGAGGTGGGGGAGGGGCAGGCGTTGGGCAAACGGCGGGGTTTGCCCGAGGACAAGCGCTTGCGTGTGGGAGCTATTCAGAGCTGAGAGCTCGCGCTGCGGGTGGTGCAGTGCGCAGGCGCCGCGGGCTGGTGCGGGTAGGGGCGGGTTTGCGGCCCAGACGATTTTTCTCTCGTTTTCTTCTTCGGCCCCCTGCGCAGGCGCACTTTTCTCTCGTCGGCCTCGTGGGTGGATGGGGGCGCACCGCGTGAGCGGGAACGGGTAGGCGGCGGCCTTTCCGCGCCCGAGAGAATTTTGTTGGAACGCTTTTCAGTTTTTATAGCGCCATGGTTTATCTCGAGACGGAAATCAGTGTTTTTTAGAGTAATACACTTTATGTCCCGTATTTTGTGGACATTGAAAACTGGAAGAAAGGCTTGTGAGAGGTCTTCTAGGCGTTTGGGAGTTGAGCCAAGCTTTGGAGCCATCACAGTTTTGCTTGTAATTTCTGGGGCTTAACCGGGTGCAGGGGATTTGATGAACCAAAATGTTCCCTCTGAGTGGGCATTTTGGAAGGCATTCACCCTCGTTAGTTTCCACTGCAAAGACCACCGGTTCCTTGTGGCTTGGAGCCCATTCCCTCTAAGTTGAGAAAGTCCTCTCTCGGTCAGCCATGTGCAGGGTTTTCCAGGGGTTAGCTGCGATGTATACTATGGTTAAGATACTTTAATTGAATTCTCGACACTTTTATGAGATAGGGGATAGTACTACAGTTTCCGGCTTCAGATATGAGGTAAATTCGTTTAGGTCCTATAGCTAGTGAGGGTCGGGGCTAGGATTAGAACTCAGCCTTGGAACTCCTTGGTCTGTTCCTTGGTGCAGACCTGGTACCTATCTGGCATGTGTGTGCCTCCCGTTGTTTGTGTAGTTTATTTCTGAAATAGAGCACGATTATGTGCTTTGGTTTGGTGGTTTTCAGAAAGCAGTCTAGGCCCAGAGTTCACAAGAGGTGGAAAAATTTAACTTGCCCCCTGATTCTCAAAGGCTTCAGAGTGGGAGGATGCTTCATCCCCTGGGAAATGAGCTGTCTTTTTTTTAGTGGCATGGGTTGGTTTTTCTCTTCTTTCTGAAAGAACTTTCTCTCTTTCGTGGTTTGGCTTAGGTAGTTGTTTCCCAACACAGATTTTGGTGGGAAAGTGATTAAAAACTAGAAGTAGTCAAGACTGCCTGGACTACCACAGCTTCTGGGGCATATGCTCTTTCACCCAGTCTGAATCTGGGGATGAGTGATGGGGAATAGTAACGCTTCACTGGGTGATGGATGTAGCTTGCTCTAGTGGCGACAGGGCAAAGAAGTCGGAATGGATGCAGACAGATCGCCTGATTCAGACTGCAAGAGAGAATTGTGTAGGCCCCTCTTGCCAGGAGTGTCCACTTCCAAGCCACTCCCTTCCCACATTTCTTTGACCAGTGGGAAGAGGCAGGTTCTGGGAGGAATGTAAGATAAGCAATCTGCCTAGTCCTCCATTTTTCCTTTCTCAGAAGCTACAGCAAGAGGCATTACACAAGTAGCCACCTGCTGTCTCAGAATCCCTTTGAGGTGGTTGGCTTAAGTTGCTATTCCTTGTCTGATTTGTGTGTCTTTCCTGGGTGACACTCAACTGTCTTACCTGACTGGGTCCTCAATAACACATAGGTCAGTGGGCCACCATCTTGTACAGTAATAAACAAAATCTTGTTTTTGCTTCTTTTCTCAGGAGAACTACGATGACCCACACAAAACCCCTGCCTCCCCAGTTGTACATATTAGGGGCCTGATTGATGGCGTGGTGGAAGCTGACCTTGTGGAGGCCTTGCAGGAGTTTGGACCCATCAGGTACTCTACTCAGAGGCCACAGGTTGAATGTGCAGACAAGTCAACTTTTTGGTGTCCCGTGTGTCACCAGTTTCTGGTTGGCAGTGGCTTGGCCACTTTGGTTCAGGGTCCTTTGATTTAAGTTCTGAGACTCCTGCTCATCAGGTTGACCATTGTCAAGTTCCGGCAAGTTCTGTGGCCTTTTGCTTTCTTTCTCTACTTTGCACCTTCTAAGCAGCATTCTCATATTCAGCAAGTATTTACTGAAAATGTGGTACATGCTAGGTACTGGGGGGGAAAGCAGTGAGTAAAACTGTCTTGGCCCTGGCTGCTGTGGATCAATGGATTGAGTGCTAGCCTGCAAACCAAAGGGTTGCAGGTTTGATTTCCAGTCATGCCTGGTTTGCAGACCAGGTCCCCAGTGTTGGGGGCGGGGTGTGAGAGGCAACCACACGTTGATTTTTCTCTCCCTCTTTTTCTCACTTCTCTCTGAAAATAAATAAATAAATAAACAAATAAACAAACAAATAAATAAAATCTTAAAAAAACAAAACTGCCCTGGTCTTCTCCTAGACAGTTGCCCACACAGAGTGATCAGCATGGTGATGGGGGAAACTCAGGAGTCTATGGGGAGCATTGGACTGAGTCATGAGGAGAGGGGTCAGGAAGGAAAGCTTTCCAGAGGAGGTAATGCCAAAGCTACACCTCTTTTTGCCTGTCTTGCCACTTACGACAAGGGGAGTTCAGATCAGAAAACTGTGATAGGAGTATACAGGAGTTCCAAGGCCAGGGAAGTGTCAGTTCATAGGAAATTGAAGGTCATTCTCCTGCTGTTCTTGTTGCCATTCTGTTCTCTTGTCTCCGTCCTCCTGAGAGGGTTAAAACTTGTGTTCTCTCTACCAGCTATGTGGTGGTGATGCCTAAAAAGAGACAAGCGTTGGTGGAGTTTGAAGATGTGTTGGGGGCTTGCAACGCTGTGAACTATGCAGCTGACAACCAAATCTACATTGCTGGTCACCCAGCTTTTGTTAATTATTCTACCAGCCAGAAGATCTCCCGCCCTGGAGACTCAGATGACTCCCGGAGCGTCAACAGTGTGCTTCTCTTTACCATCTTGAACCCCATCTATTCCATTACCACGGTGCGTGCTAGCAGACATTCCTTTAGGCCCCTCCGTGAGATCTCCTTTCTTCCCTTTCTCTCTGTCTCCTTCACCAAGCTAGACTGACCTGCCAGTGCCCCTTCATATTGCCTGTCTTTGCCTTTACAGGATGTTCTTTACACTATCTGTAACCCTTGTGGCCCTGTCCAGAGAATTGTCATTTTCCGGAAGAATGGAGTCCAGGCCATGGTGGAATATCCTTTGCTAGGAAACAGGTGTTCCTTGGGATGGGTGCTCAGAACTGGGCAAGGAGCCATCCTTTTAATCATGTATCTGCTGAATGCCTGCCATGTGCCAGATGCTCTCATAAAGCCCGCAGTCTGATGGGAGGGGCCGTCAATAAATAATCAGATGTGTAGTGTAAAAGTGCAGAACGTAAAGTGCTGTGAGATACAAGAGGATCTGGGAAGGTCTCTGATAATGTGATATTTAATTTCCATGAAGAGGTAGGAGCTGGTATTCAAGGTGGAAGAATCAGTTTCTGCAAAGATCTTCCGGTGGACAGGAGCTTAGTGTTGGAGAAAGCAAATGACCTGATGACTGAAGAATAGCAGGCACGGGGAGGGGGTTAAGCTATGGACATTCAGAGAAGTTAATAGGGCATCCACAACAGTAACGAAGCTTGGGTCAGGGTGCAGTGGGAAGCCACTGATGGACTTTCAGAACAGGATCATAATCTAGTTGACATTTTGCAGAGATTGTCAGACTTAGTGAAAGCACAAGAGAGGTGGCCTGGCCTGCTGGAGTGGTGCCAGAGGAGGTTGCTGCCACCTCTTGGCTGGTGGGGTTGGACTGCAGATCATAAAGGAACTCTGGCCAGTGGTTTTTCACCCAGGGTAGCACTCCAGCCCATCTTCATGTGAGTGGCTGGTGGCTGTGGCAATGAACAGACCCCAAAACACATATGTAACACAGTCTTTGGGTGCTTGTCTTCATCCATTTCTGGGACAGCTTGAAGCTCTCTCCAAAGAGGTTCTGTGATGGGGCTTTTCTTAACTTTACTTACATTTGACTCTGTGCAAAGTGCCCAGCGGGCCAAGGCCTCACTTAATGGGGCTGATATCTACTCCGGCTGTTGCACTCTGAAGATTGAATATGCGAAGGTAGGTCTGGGGAGTGAATGCCCCTTGGCAGCTGGCAGCTGAGTTGGGCCCTGGCTGATCTTAAACTCTTTCTTGTTCCTATAGCCTACACGTTTGAATGTATTCAAGAATGATCAGGATACTTGGGACTACACAAACCCCAACCTCAGTGGACAAGGTAATCCTGATGGCCACTTTGTTCTAAACACACCCGCCTTGTCTTCACTTGACTAGCGCACTTCATAGACCTGGGCTCAAGGTTATGTAATGCCATTGGGCTCCCTGTGGACATGGGAGGGCCTTGGATCAGTTCTTAAAAGAAGACACTTTAGTGGGAGAGGGTGAGTGAGAGCCCTTTGGGTTCTAGCTGCTGTTTGGGGCCCTTTGGTGCAGCTGAGGGTACAGAATCAAAGTAGGGGTTTGGATTGGGTGGGGAGTAGGACCTCACTGAGTGCTGGGTGTGACAATGACTTATAAACCAGTAGCAGCTTCCAAATGAATTCTGCTCCCCTTCTGTGATCCTACTTGGGCCCACTCCATTCTCACTGGGCTGGGAATGGTCTTCAATAGTGGAGAATGGCTGTCCACTATTGAGAGGGTTTCCTTGGGGTGGCGGGTTGGTGGGGGGGGGCAGCTTGGGGAGGTGATGAAGGCTCCCAGGCCCCTGCATCAGAGTCTCAGCAAGTTGACCTTGTGTAGAGGTGAAACCCTGGATTGGAACAGGGTGGAGACGCCTTACCTCACTTGTAGAGGGGACTCAACTTCTCTGCAGGGGGCCCAAACGGACAACCCTCTTCCTAGAATTTGTCAAGAATGGTTTGCCTTGGATGGGAGGGAGAGGTGGAGGATTGCCTTTGAAAAGCAGCAGTACTGCCTCAGCAAGACCGTCCAGCTCTGTGTCTGTCTTGGTCTGATACATCGGACTAGGCCATGGGCTGAGGGAGGAGGCTGGTTGCTGCCATCTCACAGGCCCTGGGAGGCCAGAGGACCCCATTTCTAGCCAGTCCTGTCTTTTTCGTCCTTGAAGCTGGGCAAGCAGTGGAGTGCGGTGGGGTGGGGTGGGCTAGACGCTTCCCCAGGACCCTCGCAGTGGGTGCTGTGGGCCCGGCTTCTCCCTCCAGAGGTCAGAGACAAATTGGTGACCAAGTGAATGTACCAGAGCGGGCAATGGCATTACATGACTGCTAACAGAAACATGGCAACCAACCATTTCTTCTCCAAGGAACATAAATAGAAGATGTGCAGACCAGCAGGGGCTAGTGGCAGGGGCTGGCTGGGCATTGGTTTTGATGCCTCTCAGTTTTGGCTGTCCCAAGGCTGGGGGTCAAAAACGAGAGCTGATGAGGTAACCTGGAGTGAGGGCGGTGCTTCGCCACCCCCCTCGGGAACCATACTTCAGCGGCTCTGCCTCTGCACATTGCTCACCAACACACAGGGTAGAAACCACTAGCTCTTCCTGGAGAGAACAGAACATGCAGCCTCCACCACGTCCCCAGAAACAGCTGCAGACTTGAGCTCATTACATCAAGAACACCACACCGCGCTCCAAGGAACAGCTACAAGCACAGAGACAGAGGCAGACAGAGACAAAGAAAGAGACGCAACATGGCAGCAGACACTGCTTTTTTATTAAACATTAAAAACAAGGTCAAAATCCAAGCAAACTCGAACCCGAGAATGTACACAGAAGTAGGAAACACAGAGAACAGAGCTCTCAGCCAGCCAGCGGCGCTCTTGGCGGAAACCGTTTCACAGACTGAAGTAGATTCCATGGGCCTCCAAGACAATAGGATCCTCTCCATTCCTCGCCATATGGGTTTTGTTTTGTTTTTTAAGTCCTTTGGTTTGGGGAGGGCCTCTTTTGTTTGCTTTGATATTTTTATTTTTTCTGCAGTCAACAGCTGCCAACATAATCTGCACCAACTGGAGATAAGAAACCAAAAATTAAACCACAACCAAAAAATCAAAAACCAAAACAGACCTAAAACCAGACAAACAGCTCAGAGGTACACAGTTACCTGCTGGTGGGTAACCGGGCGCGCTCACAAGGCCAAAAGCTCGGGCGTAGTGGGGCCGCTGGCACACCTCATAACATGGAGCGCTACACAGCCAGAAGCACCGCACTGCAGCACACAATGTGAGGAGGTGACAACATGGAGGGACACTACCCACTTCATACACCTTTATTTTCCACTTTTCTGATATCTTCTGAGGACAGAACATCTGTGAGCCATTTTTGATTTAATCAAAACATTGACTGTTAAAAACAATTCTTTAAAGAAATTGTAGCGGATGTGTACTGTAACTTGTATTTATGACTGTAAAACCATGTGATGCAGGGTCGCAGTGTATGTTTGATGGGACGCCATCTTTCAGAACTGTGCTAACTCACTGTTGAAGCGTCCAATGGTAAGAGAAAATACAGATTTGTTTTTTGTGACAAATGGACATTGTACTCTGTACTGCTGTAAGTAGCCCTTTTCCATCTTTGTAATGACTGATTGTTGAAAACGAAACACAGGCCGGGTGGCAGGAAAGGGCAGTGGTCTTGAGCCCTGGGTTTTGGAGTCAGCCAGACCTGGGTTCAAGTCCCGGCTCAGCCACTAACTTGTTTTGTGACCTTGGGCTAAAATGTCTCTTAACTGCTCAGTTAAAAGTTAACTGCTCAGTTTTCTGATCTGTAAAATGGGGCTAAAACAGAACCTACCTCATAGGGTTGTTGTGAGGAATTTTAGAAGCTGTGATGTCTGTAAAGCGCTTAGCACAGTGTTTGCCACTCGAGCGCTAAATTAATGGTAGCAGTTATGAACTGCAGCTGGGGTCGGGGTGGATCTGCGCCATTGTCGGGGTCTGAGAATGTTGATGCCTTGTACATGATTGCTCACGTGAACTGATTTCTGACTTTGCCCTGCTTGTCCTTTTCTCCAGTCCCTGTTTGAGTTGGACGTGTCTGGGCGGGAGGGTGACTGGGACCAGGATTGAGGAAAAAGGGACCTAGAAACCAGGGTCTAGAGCTCCTAGAACTGGGGGGCTTTGGGAGCCAGTTGATATCTTTCTGCTCTTCCCGGGTTATTTTCTGTTCTTAATCTTCTCTCCCTTCATTGGGTGTTATTTTAGAAAACTTATTCTTTAGAAAACCTATTACCTTCCATAGCAGCTTCAGGTTCCACAGAGGGCCCAAGAGCTGGGCTTCCCACCAGGCCCAAGGAAGATGACAGTGCTCAGAGCCTTGCCTTATCCTTCATAGAGAAAGGAAAGCAGCCCGGTTGGTATTAGCAAAGGAGGTAAAGTGGGTTCCAGCCTTGGGCTTCATGCCCGCCTTGGGCCAGGCCACAGAGGGGAGGCCCCAGCAACCCTCATGAGATACAGAGGGTTGCATCCAGGCTTGCAGGAGCTAAGGGACTTGGAGCTGATACAGAGGGTTGCATCCAGGCTTGCAGGAGCTAAGGGACTTGGAGCTTAGCTTCTTAGTCAAGAGGGAAAGAACCACCTCTCATACTACGCTAGGCTCTAACTGCTTTCTCTGTCCATAGGTGACCCTGGCAGCAACCCTAACAAACGCCAGAGGCAGCCCCCTCTCCTGGGAGATCACCCCGCAGAATATGGTGAGGGCAGGGGGTTCCCCTCCGTGGACTCCCGTGGCTCATGTGCCCCTGCCCGCCGCCCGCCACGCAAATTCTCACCCGCCCTCCCTCTCTTTCCTTCCCACCCCCCAGGAGGGCCCCATGGTGGGTACCACAGCCATTACCATGATGAGGGCTACGGGCCCCCCCCACCTCACTACGAAGGGAGAAGGATGGGCCCACCCGTGGGGGGTCACCGCCGGGGCCCAAGTCGCTACGGCCCCCAATATGGGCACCCCCCACCCCCTCCCCCACCACCCGAGTATGGCCCCCACGCTGACAGCCCTGTGCTGATGGTCTATGGCTTGGATCAATCCAAGATGAACTGTGACAGAGTCTTCAATGTGTTCTGCTTATACGGCAATGTGGAGAAGGTGAGTTTCTGGTAGGTCCACTGCTTTCCTTGTAAACATGGCAGGCGCCAAGGAAGCCTTGAACCTCATGGCATGCCGGTCAGCAAAGAGGGGGAAGTAGCCGACAAGGAGATCCAGAAAGAGTAACTTGCTTAATCGGATGACCTGCTGCAGGCAGGGTTTGTTTACCATACATGGGTGTTTGTTTATTTTTTAATTTTCAGTCATAAAACCAGGACTAGCACATAAAAAATACTAGTACTTAATATTACACAAATGTTAAGATCTGCAACATGTATATGTTACAAAGTTCATTGTGTGTGGGTTTTCCCCAGACGATCTGGCAACATTGGGCCTTCTACCTTGCGGGATAGGTGACTGTTCACTCAAATCATGTGGTTTCTTCTGTTGAACCTGTCTGAAGCTTTTTGAGTTTGCAGCCTTTCTTGGCCCATTAATAATAGTAGCAGCTAAGCAGGCCCTGGCCAGCTGCCGTGGGAGGAGCAGCGTGCCTTACACGGGAAGGTTGCAGGTGCAGTCAGGGTGCATGTGGGAAGCGGTCAGTCAATGTTTCCCTCATCGTTATGTCTGCTCTTCCTCTCCTCCTTCCTTTCTAAAAAGTCAGGGAATATATTCTCTGGTAAGAATGAATGCTTTTTAAATAGCAGCTAATACGTGTTAAGTATTCTTCCTATACTAGGTACTCTTAAAAGTGCTTTACATGTAGTAACTTAAAATAATTTTCACAAGAGTCCTTGATGAGACGAGTGGGGAAAATGGCACAGAATGTGATAAACTTGCCCAGGTTCATGGACCTTTTAGTGGAAGCAGGACTAAGCTTAGATGGCCTGGCTTTCGGAACAAACACTGTTGTTTGGGGGGGGGGGGGGGTGTTTTATTTATTTATTTATTTATTTATTTTTCTTCCCAGTGTTTTTTACTGTAACTCAAATAAAACATTTTACATTATGACCCTGTACCCAGACAAATGTGTCTGTTAACACAACATGAGAATATAGCATTTTTGTTTGTTTGTTTGTTTGTTTGTTTGTTTGTTTTAGAAAGTGGGAAGGACAGGGAGAGAGCCATCAGTGTGTGGTGGCCTCTCGCATGCCCCCTACTGGGAACCTGGCCTGCAACCCAGGCATGTGCCCTGACTGGGAATCAAACTGGCGACCCTTTGGTTCATAAGTCAGCACTCAATCCACTGAGCCACACCCACCGGGGACTGCTTGCTTTTTGCTTTTTCTTTTTTTCGCCACTGTGCTTATTTTTGTGTGTGTGTGCTTGGCTAAGTGACCCACTTATGGGTCATGTCCTCCTGTGGTTTATCTTGAGCTGTGCCCTTGGCACGGGCCAAGCGTGCTTCTGTTTCTCTTGATCGCCCATTCACAAGTAAGATATGCAAGCAGGAGTTAATTGTTTTAACTTGGAAGGGACAAGAGGTAGGTCTCTTAAGCTGGGAAGTGGTGCTGACTGTGGTTTCTTTCCCCAAGGTGAAATTCATGAAAAGCAAGCCAGGGGCTGCCATGGTAGAGATGGCTGATGGGTATGCTGTGGATCGGGCCATAACCCACCTCAACAATAACTTCATGTTCGGGCAAAAGCTGAAAGTCTGGTAGGTACCCGAATTCCTTTGGGTAGGATATGTCAGTGAGGGACTGGGGAGAAAAGAGAAGGAAAATGGGGCCCACTCTGGACAGGACCCAGTTGTGGAACACAGTGAGGCAGAGATGATGATGAAGGCAGGAGCGGGGTGTGGTGGGTGTGTTTCCAGATTCTCTGAAGCAGTTGGAGAAAGTGTGGGCCTCACCTCAGCTGAGGTGCAGTGCTAAGGCCCACAGCACTTTCAGACAGGAATGTGAGGCCTTAGTGGAGGATTTGGGGGTTAGTAGGCCTGACAAAGGTGTCCATTCCCCGCAGTGTCTCTAAGCAGCCAGCCATCATGCCTGGTCAATCATATGGGCTAGAAGACGGGTCCTCCAGTTACAAAGACTTCAGTGAATCGAGAAACAATCGGTTCTCCACTCCGGAGCAGGCAGCCAAGAACCGTATCCAGCACCCTAGCAATGTGTTGCACTTCTTCAATGCCCCTCTGGAGGTGACAGAGGAGAACTTCTTTGAGGTGGGTGTCGTGGAATTGGTCCCTCACCGCAGCTATCTGAGTAGGCCTTTCATTTTAGCCTTGCAACAAATACCTGTTGATCTCTGCCAGGCTGTTAACAGTTTTTGCAAGCTAAGATGTCTATACTTTTTCTGGTAAAGATTTCCCTGTCTGGGTGTTAGATGATGATCAGAGTCCAATCTCAATATCCCCTTTGTCAGACAGGGCCCCATTGTCTAGATAACATCTGAAGGGAGGGTCCTGTTAAGGGCAAAGTCAGAAGAAGCTAGGGCAAGAAGTATGACTGGTAGAATTGAACTTTGGTCCTGGTATTTAGTTCATCAAACATTTACCCAGTGTCAACACTCATATAGCAGCTGAAGATGGAAGATTTGGGGGGGCTGGGTCATGGAGACACTTTAGTGTATGGTAAAAGCTTAAAATCTTCAGAAAATTTCATGCACTCAGTCATGCACAGCATAGTCTGCTTGAATTTTGCCATGTGGCACTCTTGTGTTTCTGCATCTGCTTTTGTCCTGCAGATCTGTGATGAGCTGGGAGTGAAGCGACCATCTTCTGTGAAAGTATTCTCAGGCAAAAGTGAGTAAACTTCCCTGATTCCCCTTTGTTTCTTGGTTATATTGGGTAGCTCTCTGGTTTCTGCTTGGGTCAGCCTGAAACCTTTGCTTTCTGGTCAGGTGAACGCAGCTCCTCTGGGCTGCTGGAGTGGGAGTCCAAGAGTGATGCTCTGGAGACTTTGGGCTTCCTGAACCATTACCAGATGAAAAACCCAAGTGAGTATCTGTGTATTGTACAGTCATCCCCCTTGTGGCCTAATGGGTTGGCTGCCTTCAAGCCAGAGCTGTCCTTCCTGCTATCAAGATACAGCCCCAGAGATTTCCATGTTGTCATTGATGCAGACAAGTGGGACCTGATTACCAGGAGAGCAGCCTGATAGTCCCCATGGGGGAGGGCCAGCTGACTGCTCACTGCCACCCACTCTGCCTACTGGGAGTTGCTTGGGCTTGTCCTCTAGGGGGCTGGTATTCTCTGTCAGAAGCTGCCAGTAATGCTCTACCACGTCAGTCGCAGAAGTTGGCTGAGCTAGTACCCAGGGCAGGGGCCATATTAGCCCTGGGCCAGCTACAGAGCTAGGAATGGGATTCTTCATAGGAATGGACAAAGGGAAGGAGGAAGGTCTTGTGCATTTGGCTTATTTTTAAGTCTCACATTGGGCAGTGAATGGGGGGGGGGAGACTGTGTGGGAGAGCCTCCAGAGATGGGCTCAGCCAAACCTCTTTCTTCTCCTTTGCAGATGGTCCATACCCTTACACCTTGAAATTGTGTTTCTCCACTGCTCAACATGCCTCGTAATTAGTTGCCGTGGAAGAGTCCCATCTGAGCAGGAAAACATTTCTTTCCTTTTTGCTGGTTTTTTGTTTTTGTTTTTTGTTTTGCAAAAGTTCCTGTATTCCTTTTTTTTAATGCTAGGTTAGTAGAGGCTTAACCATAATGGAAATGCTGGAAGGATGGAAGGGGAGGGGAGGGGAATTGATATCTCCCAAGATTAACCTTCACTTTTAAAAATTATTGTACAAGTGATTATTTTTTCCTGTTCATATTTGTGCTGCCCATGTACTCTTGGCACATTTCAATAAAATAGTTCGGAAAATTAACTACTTTAGGATTCCAGGGTGTGTCTGCTTCTCCCACTTGATCCCCCTGAAGGGCAGGCAGGCCAGGGCACAGCTGCAGGCCCAGCCCTGAGAGGAGAAGGGTGAGCCAGGGCTGCGGACCAGCCAGAATGCTAGCGACTAAGGAGTCTTGAGGAAAAATCAGGAGACCTGGTGGTGCACTTTTCGTGGATTCTGCCTAAGCAAGCTCAATCTAGTTGGGAGAGTCACTTAAAAAGTACATGGTTTGGGGGGAGGAAAACCTTAAAGGAAAATTAATCCCACCTACCTACCACCCCACCTACCTTTTTTTTTATAAGGTTTGAACATAAAACTTCTGAAAGATAAAAGTGAGAGTCTTCTCTTCAGTTCCTTTATTAATTTTTGGTGTGTTTTTTTTTCCTTGTCACATTGGGCAATGGCCCCTGCGGTTGAACTGCAGCAAAAGATGTGTGCAAAACCTGGGGAACAGGGTGGGAGGAGCATGGTCTGGAGTTACATCTGCACAGTTCTGTATCATGACCACATACTGAGCAACTTCCTTATCTTTACCCATGCAACTTATCTTGTGTGGGTGTGTCAGAATTTACCTGGTCCCAAAGGGTATTTCCACCTTTTTGCTACTGCAAACAATATACTGTGCTGTATATCTTAATACAAATATCTTCGCCAATGTCCCCAGTATTGTTTTGGAGGTACATTCCTGGTAGTGGAATTACTGGGTCAAAAGATCTATATACAATTGCAATGTGATAGATACTTGCCAATTGTGGTAGGTGGGAACTTGTGTAATATGAGGGTGACGGATGACAACCTGGAAGGAGTCTGCTTTAAGGACCTTGGCTCATGGAAGAGGTAGCCTGTGGAAAGGAGCAAGTCAAAAGGATAGTACCGCCCTGGTTGGTGTGGTTCAGTGGATTGAGCATTGTCCTGCAAATCAAAAGGTTGCTGGTTTTGATTTTTCAGTTCCTGCTCAGGGCACATGCCTGGCCTGCAGGCCAGGTACTCTGTTGGAAGCACTCAAGAGGCAACCAATAAATGTTTCTGTCACACTTCAATGTGTCCCTCCCTCCCCTTTCTAAAAATAAAATTTTAAAAAGAGAAAGTACAGCACGTTGTTCATGCATGTGCTCCTGAAAAAGAACCCACTTGAATATACTGTGAAGTTTTGAAGCTCAGATTAACATTACTGAAGACACATGGCATCAGATGAATAAATGGAATTTCAAATAGAACCTCTAGACAAGGAAAAACTAGTCCACCTTGCAGCCCCAGACTTCAAAATCTGACTTATTTTTAAGCCAATCATGGGAGTAAAATAAATTTCATTTTTTGTTTCCCAGCACTTTTTTGTGAGCTCTTTTGAGTCTCCTGTAGATCTATGTACATACCGTATTGTGTGCCTACTTTTATGCTGATAATACTAAATGTTCTATATCTTTCTCTTTCATATCTTGGTATTTGCATAGCAGTTTCAGAGTTTTCCTTTGCATAGGTAACAGTTTTCCGTTGATGGACAGTCACCGGTTTTGTTTTCCAGTAGAGCCTGCCTACTGCATTTCATTAAGGCAGGGGAATCCCTGTAATCCTGTTTGCCAAGAGCCATCCCTTCACTACCTGGTGAACGTTTCCTAAATGAGCATACTCAAGCAGTTTCACGGCACATGCTGATGGGTTAACCGGCTGTTTTTATAGAAGACTACAAGAAATTTAGGAACACGGGCTTCAAATCAACATAAATCCTCTCCAGCACTGCTCATCTCCAGCCCCAGGTTCCTGTGTACAAAGAAAGTAGGACCTTACCCTGGCTGGCTGGCTCAGTGGGTTGAGCGCGGGCTATGAACCAGAGAGTCACTGGTTTGGTTCCCAGTCAGGGCACATGCCTGGGTTGCAGGCCAGGTCCCCCCACTTGGGGGCACACTAGAGGCAACCACACATTGATGTTCTCTCCTTCCCTTCCTCTCTCTCTAAATATAAATAAAAACAAAAAATCTTTTTAAAAATACCCCCCCCCAAAAAAAATGTAGGACCTCGTGGTGGTGTGGGAGATTAAACAGTATCAGTTAGTGCTTAATGATGGCCCAACTATTTTTCCGTTCCTTTATATGTGGGTAAACTCCGTCTAGGTAACTTTTTCAATTTAGTTAACATCGCACTAGTAAATTATTAGGGTTGCAGTTATTCAGCCGTTACGTCCTTGGACATTTGAGCTGTTTCCAATTTTAACGACATTATACAACAGCGCTGTGATGAACTTATGCATGCATGTCCATAACCCGGTGAATTACTCTTTTAGGCCAGGTTCCTACTGGGCCGAAGGGTCCTGTTAGCCAACCAAACAAGGCTATTTCCGGTTGCCCTTAGTAAGTATGGCGGGAGGAGGGGTGTCACCGACATCTGGCTGCAGCATTGGTGCCCTCACCTAACATGGCTGCTTTTGTGCCCGCCTCTTTGGCTTCCTCTTGTCGAGTTACTCCAGCAACCCCGGCAATGGCGGTGACGATGGCGGCTTCCCGCAGACTCCGAGACCTTCTGAAGTGGCGTGAGTCACCTCTTGAGCTCTGAGGGTCCGTTACACTGTCGTGCTGTCATAGAGATTATAGGACAGGGAGGACTGTCCCAGGCCACGCTGGGTTCGGAGTCCCTTAAACTCAGAGAACTGTGTGTTCCCGGTCAATGGCTCCCCAGTTTTATAGGCCTGTGTTACTGTTGGGTCACTGATGGCTCACCGTCCCCAATCTGGGGTCAGCCCGACGATTAAGAGTTTGAAGTGGTCCTCAGACTGAGGTGGCTGATAATGCACCCCTAATCTTCAACTCTGTATCTACCCAAATTGAGATTTCCTAGAGTCCTGTGTTCCCCAGTCTAGGGTCACAGAGATGTGTCCCCTTCGCTCTCGAAGGTGCTGCGTCTCCAATCTGAGGTCATCAAAAGCTCTTCCTTCCTTTGTCACCCTAGGATTGACAGCCCCCACCCACCTGGGTCTCAACCTTAGCCTTCAACCCATGGGCTCCTCTGCACAAGATGAGACCTCCAGAGCAGCCCCCAGTGAAGCCCCACACCACAACTATGAGTCCCTTAGGGTGACAGCTGCCCAGAAGCACATTCTGCATGTACAGCTAAACCGGCCGGAGAAGAGGAATGCCATGAACAAGGCCTTCTGGAGGTGTGGCAGGAAGATCCCCGTGGCCTGCCTGCAGGAGGAGGCAGAGACAGGGATTGCAGGGGTGGGGCGTGGGAGATGGTTGGACAAGAGGATAGGGGATTTCCACCCCAGACACAGCCCTTCCTCACTCTTTGCTCCTGCACAGAGAGATGGTGGAGTGCTTCAACAAGATAGCACAAGACCCTGACTGTCGGGCTGTGGTGATCTCTGGTGCAGGAAAAATGTTCACTGCAGGTATGAGGTGCTCTCCACCCGATCCCCACCAGTGTCCCCTACCCTGGGAATAGAGCAATTTTTTTTTTCTTTTTTTAATGCATCAAAGAAAGTAAAGGTGTCAGGAAGTAGCACATGTCTGGAAACAAGTTAGTTAATGCTCAAAGACCTGGCTCCTGGAAGGCTTACAGGCAATGGGTCACAGAGAGGAAAAATCATTAATCGTGATAACTTGAGGAGTTAAGGTCGCGGTCAGGTTGTGGTCTTTACTGATTGGTCCATGCTAGGGTAGTTGATCAGTGCATCTGGTCCTGATGTCAGCCATAATGGCGTTTGGCTGTTTTTCTGGGCCTGGAACTAAAATGCTACTGAGGCCTAGATGTTATCTCTAGTTTGACCAAAACTTTCTTTGTGTTCAATAGACTGGATGCTTTGTTCCTGAGATTATTTGATGCTGATGAGAACCTCATTGTCCTGAGGGCTTAATGCTTAAGGGAGTTGTCCTGAAAGGGAGGAGGCAGGGGGGTGAGTGGGGTGCTGGGTGACGCCAGTTTGAATCAAAAGGAAAGAAAGGAGAAAAGCTCATGTTACATAAATGAAGTTACTATGCAGTTACAGTTTCCCCTTTTATTTTGATCACTCCTCGATCCTGAGGAATATAGGGCAGCTGGGTCTCAGTTCAATCCAGGGAGAATTAGCTCAAAAGGTGGAGTCAAATTTGTCTGGCTATTATGCCCCTCTTATCCACCTCTTACCATCTCACATGCCCACCTCTTTCTCCTGGTCCATGAGCCTTAGAGGGGGCATTCTAGGTATTCATTTTACAAATGGGAACCACAGCAATGGAAGAAGAAGCAGTAGGCCAGGATACCTGTACCCAGTCTCTGAGTCTTTAAGACTGCCAGCAGGGAAGACCTCTAGATGAAAGGTCCAGAGCTTCATTTTGCTGGAATGAAGGCAGGCCGTGGCAGTCGGACTGATTTCCCTGGCCCACAGTCCAGACGTCCCTGATGAATGTCCTGACACCAGCTCATGCAAGCTCTCTGTGTGGCTAAAACAGCAGCAGTCACCAAAACCATTTAAGCATAAACTGTTGTGATGACTTATCCAAAATTTACATTGTGTTGCCTGGCTGGGGTCTGCAGTTACAAGGCTCAGGAAAAAAAAGTTTTCGTTCTTGGTAATTCCAAGGCAAAGGATGGGAGAACAAATGAAACACTGGTACAGAGGGCTGCAGCCAAACAGTTTCATTAGAAAAACACAGGGTCCTGGCTGGGTAGCTCCGCTGGTTAGAGCATTGTTCTGATATGCCAAGGTTGTGGGTTTGATCCCTGGTCAGGACACATATAAGAATCAACCAATGGGCCCTGGCTGGTGTATCTCTCTGAGACATGACATTACAGTCAAAGTCTTGGTAATACACCAATTTCCAATTGTGTCCTGTTATAACAAGAACTGATTCCTAATGAATTTATGCAAACAACCATATTGCCATGATAATAATACCCAGAGTCTCCAAACTTCTATGAGGGTCAGGTTGGAAGAAAACTATAAATGTTTCAATGGAAGCAATGCTTCTTAATTAGGGTTTTGAGCAGCTTCTAACCTCTCCTCTTATCATTTT